TGTGACAGAAGTCAGTTTGGACAAGAGCATTAAAATCTTGGGGTTTTTTAATGTTTTAAACATAAATTTACAGGGGAGCAAAACCCACACTTATTTTGTCTCCATAAATGTAAATGAGACATTCATTGTAAATTCTGTTTGACTTAGAAGTTATTTTGAAAGAACAACCATATAAAAGTTAAAAGTTAAAACTTWGCTACTGTAGTGCTGCTGCTTCACTAAAGAATTAAGCAGGACCTGGGAGTTTGCCAGAGCTTGTTGGTTTTGGCTTATTTCCAGTCAAGTTCCTAAGAAAGCCACCAACATGTTACTGCTGTTAATGTCTTTGTGATCAAACWCTACAGTCTGCAGAAAACATTAAAACTATGCTAATTTCCTCCCATAATTTTATCTGGTCAAAAACTGTAACTAAAGATTGCAGCAAAACATTTCAAGGGAAATGCCACAGTTTTTTGTAAAGCAATGGATTATGAAGTTTTCTCTGAAATGTGATCAGCCAGGTATAAATGTAAGGAATTACTGTTGATGGACAGCCAACTACAGCAGCTCTGCAAAGCTGACAAAGCAGCCTGGTTCCTAGTATTAGTTGTAAYAGTTTTCACAACACTATCATATATTTCTTCCTATCACCCTTGTTGTAGAACCATTTTCTTAGAGTAAGTGCAGGCAGGTTTGAGAAGTCAGGCAGGGTCAGGTAATGAGTTGGGAAAACTGCAGCCATGAGGAAACAATTTGAGATATTGCCCATTCACCTGATGACACTGTCCTGTTTCCTGGGCTGCCGCTGGTCAGTCGTGGTCAGCCTTTCTGGTGTTGATAGCTGTGATGCTCTCTCAGACAAGTTCAGTAGAGGACCTGCAATTTTGTAGACTTGGTGAAGGACCAGTTCTTGTGTAAAATCAGGAGTGCTTTCACTTTGCAATGGCCATTTTGGCTAAACTCACAGCAGCATTTTCCCATTTCATATGGTCTTAAGACTAATGTTTCAGAGAAAAGGACTTTTGGAAGCTCTCACTGATGTTGGGTTGCTGAGGGAGGCAGAAGGGCTTCAGGAAGCCTGTCCATAATCACTCTGGCTACATGTTGTCTGTACGTGCCACAGCTGATGTGAACAGGTGATGAAGCAGACAGGGAAATTCACCTAGCAGAAAAATAATACAGAAAATCTAGCTGGATTCTTTCTGCTCAGCACCTATTGAAATTGCTGGGATGTACCAGCACAACAGATCGTAGAGGTCTGGAGAAGGAATTGACTTGGAAAGGAAGAAGAAAGTTCTGAAATTTAATAATTTTCAACTATGTATCTTAAAAAAGCAGTTTATCTTTTGAACACAGGCTTAGATTAGACATTGTCATGGTATTTGCCATATTTGTAGAACAAGCAAAGAAATTTTTGCCTGTATGGTTTCAACTGAGAAGTGTAATCCCCTGCAGGAGCAAATACTTACTTAGACAAAATTTCTAGAAAGTGTTGTTTGCCTTAAAAGAGGTTTWAGTGGGAAATCCATCAGTAAGGCTGCAGAGAAGGTGGCTGCTGAGTGATCCTAAAGATCCAAACTAGAAAAAAAAAGTTAAAATAATTAAATTGAATAGGCATTAAAATGACCAGAGGTGATTTTAAAAAGTGGTGGCTCAGAGAAATTGCAGACACTGAAGAAAAGCTTTGACAAAGAAAACTAAAGATAAATAAAATAAGAAAAAAAGAAGCATGGTTTGGCACAGAGAAGTAAACAGGAAAAGTTCTAGTCAATATAGTTGGAAAAAAACGTAGGAAGTTTTGAAAGAGATATCAGCATCATCAAATTGGGTCAATTTTTCATAAAGAAAATTCTCACACAGAAATGCTGTGTCTACTGGACTGTGCAAGTATGCAGTATTTTTGAGGATGTTCATTGCTTTTCCAGATGTGTGTATTATCCTTGTGGTTTGGCTCAGATCAGAGAGACTATAAGAAAGCACAGCACAGTGTGTATCAGAGATGTGGGAAAGTTTGTTCACCCTTTGCAAACATCCCTCCAAGGCGTAGCTGGCTTGTACTTACATACCATGTTGTGAGAATCAAAGAATCAAGATGGTTTTGTTTTCTCACGTTCAGGTTTTGTTTTCTTATGTTCATTTCTGTTCTGTTCTTAGGAAATGTAAACTCTACCTTCTTATCCCTGACTGAACTCGTATGTTTCAAGACATCATTTCCTGCTAAAAACTCCAGCTCTCCTCCTGCTTAAGACCTAGTTTATGATAATAGTTTTCATTAAGTTAATTATAATGTTTATGATAATAGTTTATGATGTGGCCAATAGTTTAGCTGTGACCCTCCACATAATAGTTTATGATAATAGTTTTCATTAAGTTAATTATAATGTTTAGCATGCCACTGGATAGAGAGTGATGCACCTTTCATGTAGAATTATGACGGATATTTAGTCTCACTTCCCCTATAGCCTTACTATATTTCTTTGTGAAAATTATTTAGTTTGTTTTCAGTTCATTGTTCTTAGAGTGAGTATAAAACATGTATTTCAAGTAACAATTACAACACTTCAATAATTAATAAATATATTTTTGAAATATAAAAACAGTGTTGTGCAATTTTTGGACAGTGGGAAGAATGTGAGGAGCAAGATTAAAGGAAGATGAAGAGGAAAAAGAAAATAAGGGGTTTCAGACATCCATTAATTGAACGTATTAGCAATGACTGATTATTACAAATTGGAGGGTGAAATGATGAGTCATTTAATTTAGGTCAATAGAATCCAGCCATATGAGATTGGAATCAGTCCTTCTCAGCAGTACCATTTGCTAGTTTTAAGATGGACAAGAGTACTTAATTCTCACACCTGTCCACTTTGAGTACCAAAGGAAATGTTTCTGTTTCTATGGATGGATAATTCCAGTACATCTGTAAATACTTGGATTGTTCTGCAGGCATTATTATTTTGCATTAATTATTTTGTAAAATAAATTACACCACTTAAGAAAATTAAAATCCGAGTTATTTTTAATATATGATTATGATAATGTAGAGAAAGAGTTTGATCTAAAAGGGATGTAGGATTTTAAAAAAGTAGATTTAGAATTTTACTTTTTGTAGGTTTTTATAATCCCTCTGATGACCAAGAGAAATTTAGAGGTTAGAAATATTGGCCCTGTAGGCTTGAGCCTTATCTCAAGGATCCTTTCTGTCATACTCTGGTAAAAGCTCTTCATCACCATGGTACTCATAAATGATTGTTTACTCATTGTCCTCTTTTTTTGTACATTAGAAAAAATTATTATTCTACTGCCAAAYTGATGAATGTCTTGATTTGCATCCCTTGTGCTTAGTTTCTAATAAAACCTATCTCATAATCTGCCTTTTTAATAGTTTTTCTAGTTTCTAAGGGTTTTTTTCTGAAGAGCAACATTGTGTACTGATTATTTTTTTGGTGTGACATAAGATGTGATTCAGTAATTCACTTCAATGCTTTCCTGTTTCTTTGGCTTTCTTTCAGCTTCCTGAAGTGTACTGCAGCGTAGAGATACATTTAGATGAACAGATATAATTTCTTTTTAATGAGGTAGCTGTGACCCTCCACCTGCAAATATACTATTGATGCCATGATCACATTACTCTTGCTGAGCCAAAATACATTCTGAGTACATCAATTAGAGCATGAGTACTTACAAATGTCTCCACTTTTGTCACTATTTCTGCAAAGCATATTATCTCTATAGAGAGTCATTGTAGGCGACGCCACAGGAGGTGAACACCTATTTTAAAAAACATACTGAAAAAGGAGGCTGTGCTCATTTTCCAGATGAGGACTTCAACAAACAGGGCATGACTTCATCACAGAGCACAGCAGGTCCCCCTGCACGTCTCCCTTTCTGCTGAAGGAAAATTTGCAAGGGAAATAAAGGGCAGATAGAGACTTTAAGCTGGGCATGTCCATCGGCACGCTCCATGCACAGCAGCACCAGCCACATGGGCAGCTGGCTCTTCAGTGTCCTGGGTCTGCCTGCCCTTGAAGGTGCTCCCTGTCCTCCTAAGAGCTGAGACTCAGCCACTACTGCAGCACCAGTGGCCTGGCTCCTGTGCTGTGCAGATAAATGGGTAAAACGGGGAGCAAGGCACTTGTGGGCTCTGTAGTAACTCACTTGTGCCAAATGCAAAACTTGGAAGGCACAACAGTTCATTGTCTGGGTGATCAGCTTGTTTTCCGCAGTAAAAAAAAAATAGCCTACAGATTGTGCTGCGTTTTGGACAAGCTGCTGACTTGATGTTCAAGTTGAAGAGAATAGTAAATGATCCTGAAAAACAAAGTAGTCATTTGGTTTTGGTTTTTTACTWAGTAGCAATTTTAAGTATGCACAGGACATATGTGTGAGAATTGTCTTAAACCTGGGGTTAAGAACTGTTTCCTTTAGTGAAGAAATGTGTATTTTTGTTGTGCTTTAGTGAAGTAGTGACACTTCACATGACAATTCATGTGCAATGTGAGAGCAAGGCCTTGCAAAATCCTTGCATCCTTTTTCTTCCTGTCTACTGAGCATGTGCAGAATTCTAAAAAAAAGATTTKATTTGTCACCTATATCTGTATTTTAAACTCCTCTTTGGACATATGTGCAAATGGTTGTTAGAAACATTGCACATCTTTTGTAAATAAAGTGTAATTAAAATTCRATGGAATGAAAAAGCTTAAAAAGTGTTTAAGGAGCCCATCATGATATGCATTATTGGACATTCTCTTATTTTAAAATTGAAGTTGTGGCTTTATTAGTACAGCACCTTCTTTTTGAGGCACTGTACTGAAAAATCGTGTTTATTTTCTTATAGCTAATTATTATTTTCAGAACACTCATGGTATGAAATTTTTGTGTTGCACASTAATGAGTGTGATATGGAACACTTTTATTTCTAATTTTTTGTCTTAAATAACTCTACAATTATTTTTTAAAGACTTTTATCCATATGGTGCTTTTCCCTCAAGCAAAATGATTTTATTCTATTTCGTTTTTAGGAAGGAGGCGCAGCTGGATGAAGAGGGACAGTTTCTGGTCAGAATAATTTACGATGATTCCAAAACTTATGACCTCGTTGCAGCTGCAAGCAAGGTCCTTAGTAAGTAATACAGATATCTTCTTCTCCCATTCATCACAAAAAGGGTAATACCCCTCCTGCCCCCAGTTCTGTGTAGCAGAGAAAAGCAGGATTTAGCATAGAGGAAGTGAAAATGGAGTATTGGTCAAAGAGAGAATTTTTAAAAAATCTTAGAGAAAAGAATTACATTTCTCTTATTTCTCTAAGACACTTTTACTCCTTTTATTCCTTGAAATTATTTTTGTTACTTCCAAAGCATTCCGTCTTAAACTGGTAAAATATACTTCATCCACAGAGCATAGTCAGTGTTACAAGCAGTCATGAAGTAACARCATCCTGCTACAACTGCCTTCCAATACCCCCAAGTTTCAACCACTGCTACAAGAGCAGTGAATGAATGCATGAATGAATCCTTGATCTCTGCTGAAGAGCAGTGCTGAGTTACAGAGATGTTTATGGCATGGACACATTTCATTTAATTGCATATCAGCCATTGATTTGGGTTGCATTCATTTTCAATCATTGCAGCTCTGGTCTGGATTTTAAAAGGTGGAATTGTGCCCATCAGCATTATTTTATCTGCAGACCCAAGTGCGGTATGAAGTCATTCTGCATCAGTAATTAGCCAAGAATCTATAAGACTGATGACTGTAGTAATGTTGAATTGGAGCAGCTGATGTGGTTTCATGCTATTGTGAATTAGAATTAACTCTGCTGAGGCAAGCACTACTAACGAACAAGTTCATTTATTTTYGAGATTCATTTTTCTGTATCAAAATCAAAATGCTGTACGTGTGTGAAATGTACAGTGKGGTGAAGAAATAATGATAATTGGGAAATCCTAATGAAATTCTGAATTGGATATTCATTATTTGCCATATAAACCCTGAATCTTGGCTTTGTTCTTGACCTACTGGATCTGGGTAGTGTTTAGGTACTGTCTTTCTTGTTTATGAATATGAGAGTAAAGAAATAATCAAATGCATGAAATACAGTGTTTGGACTGAATTGTATTTTCCTGTTTTAACTAGATCTAAATGCTGGGGAAATTCTTCAGATGTTTGGGAAAATGTTTTTTGTGTTTTGTCAAGAATCYGGTTATGATACAATTCTACGTGTCTTGGGCTCAAATGTCAGAGAGTTTTTGCAGGTAAGAATTTTATGCTAAATTGTTTCAGATGGAATTAGGGCCTAGTCAACAAATTTAATTTGAAATTCCAAAGAGAAATTTTGAACAGGAGTATTCATATGCAASAAATTGGGGAAATAATGTGTGTTAAGTGGTGTGTTAAGACTTATCTTGTTTATAATAAAAAAAAAKGTGATCTTCAGATTTGTAGGGTAATTCTTCTATTACCTCTGACTAATTATAGATAGTGGATATTTCTATTAGTATGTTATGTGCAGAGCGAGGGCTCATAACAGCTTATCTCTTAAGATGTTATCCTTCATCCATGAACTGGGGTGGGATAAAGCAGCAGTGTTTAGGTCAATTTGTGTACTTTCCTAACTGTAGACCAGCATGATGCTGCACAATAAACCAAAATGAAAATTATTTTAATAGCATGGAAGAGATGTTGGGTCTTCTCTAAAGTGTTATTTCTAAGAGTAGAAAAATGGTTTTCCCTGTTTTGTCACCTGAAGATTGTTCACTTCAGTAAGCACTTTGTATGTAAGATTTATGATCTGTATCACTCTTGGAGAGAACTGTGTACTGTAATGAGGTTAAAAGCATTGAACTGGAGATGACCCAAAAGCTGACTGTTGAAACTCTTGATTTTCTCTGAAAWTGTAGCAGCCTCTTGACATCTGTACCCTTAAAATCTCTGCATCATTAAGGGAAAAAGCAGAATCATAGTTTGCTGGATTACTTGAATATTTACTTGTGTCTCTCTCTACCTGCCCCAAAACATGTGTCATTYCAGAGCATCCTAGATACAGTCAACCCAGACTTGTATAAATGCCATGARCTGTAGCTGCTGGGCAGACAGGGTATCTGTAAGTTCCTACATGTGCACATCATGAATGAACCACTGTCTCTCTGAGGAATGTGGCATGCTTTACATTCCATAGCTTCATTCATAGGCTGCTCTCAAAGCAAACCTTCAGATAAAAGTAATTGTTAAAGATAACTCATGTACTGAAGTTGTGGTTAAGGTTGAGCAAGAATAGGGGAGGAAAAAAAAAGGTGTAGCTGGCCCATTGCATCATCCCTTTGGTTGCTCATGTATGGCCAGTCCTTCCCTATTCCTTTCCCTCAYGTCCTTTTCCAAATAATATGCTTCTCTTTTCATTCCTTACCACGTGCTGGTGAAGGCACTGGGCACGTTTTTTATGCACACCAACCAGCTATAAAAGTGTAAACAGCTTACATTTATATTCTTCTAGTGACAGCATTTTAAGTTTCTTTGTTTGAATTTCAGTGTTAACAGATGACATTGGCTATTACATACTTCTCTAAATGTAAACAGGACTAATGTGTTAGTAAGTATGCCAAAAGTGTACTTTTTAGCTTTTTATTACAATGGGAAATAAACATTATCTGTGATTTATTATTTTTACATCTTCCAATAGTCATATTAGGTCRGGAGGCTACTTTATATACCTGTTATAAAAAGCAGTGCGGATTTGGCTTAATGTCCCAAACTTTTGTCAGATTCCTAAAATRTATAATACAGTTCCAAAAGGTGCTTCTTGAAATGTATACTGAGTCCAAGATATACAAAATAATTGAGAACTGCAGCTTTTTAAAATATGTGAAAATAAATCTCATACTTATGTTCTATTTCCTTTGCCATCTCAAGAAAATTTAGTTTAGTCATAGTTGTAACATAGGTACTTCAAGCTTCACGAAAGAGGAAAATAAAAACGGCAGCTAAATCAAATATTTGTATTTTCTGTGAAAAACACAAGCAGGGAAAATTTGCAAATCATGTTGAAAGACACTGTGCAAAGAGAAGCAATGTGAAAAGAGATACCTCCAGAGRAACCCGAAGTGTGCTTTTATGTTCAGTTTAGTAGCTTTCTACTGAATGAAAATCAAACACAGAAATAGTGTATTCTGTCATTGAAAGAATTGTTTACATGGCTATTTAAGTTTTCATAAATGCAGTGCAATAAAATTCAGGGGGCTAACTCCTCTTTTAGATAAGTTTGCAGGTGCTGTGTACACACAGCACTGAATGGCATATGTTTGCATTTCAGGTACCAACCACAACTCTCACTTTTAGACTGACCAGTGTCGGCCTCATTTAATGTGGCTGCTTGTTCTTGCTTAAAGATTCCCTTGTGCTTTACCATTGAGCTGGTCACTGTTCCTCCAAGCTCTAGAAGTGGTTCTTTGGTCCCAGCACAAGCTCTGGCATACATCTGAGCAATCTAGGAGCCAAGAATTCAGGGAGAGTGCTTAGACCATGATACTCTGTACCTGACTACACCTCTGGCTCATTGCGGATGAACATACTATAAAAAAAAAAAGTTCTTTCAGAAGCTGGAGTATCACTTTATAATGGATCAAACACCACAAAAATAYAGGAGTAGGAGTAACAATGATAACGTCTACATCTGGGAGTGATTTCAGTTTGCCGCTTGATCTAGAAAAACAGGTCTACTCTGTGTATATGAGTATGTGTTGGAGAGAGATTTTGAATACAATTAAGATGCAAGTCCCCCACTCTGGAAGATTAAAGAGTAAAAACTGAAAGACATATCACATGGACTTCACCTGTGATACTCCTTTGATGAGCTCAGCAGTAAAGGAGTGGAAGGATGGCAAAGTGGTTTTGCAGAATGGGGCTACTGCCATTTCTTTAGTCACACTTGTGCCAGACTTAAATGTTAATACTTAAGACAACCATTTAACAAAAATTCTGTCCTTGACACTGGCCATTCCCCAAGTGAAGTTCTTCAGCYGGTGGCCGTGTAACTGAAAGATTATTGTCTTTTCCCATGTATCTCCCTAAGAGTTTTTTTCTGAAAGGTCAATATATCCCGGCTGTTTGTGAGGCGTATGTACTGGAAACACAGTTCTGCACCCAATTAAGGAGATGGCGGGGCAGCCTTTCAGAGYCTGTCACCTCTCTTGCTCTTTTATCATCCACACTCTTTCAAAGCAGTCTCTTCCAATTGCTTTTTCTTGAACTCTGAAATTCTTAGAGAATTTGTCTTCAAGCATTATGGTTTTTGTTTTTTTTTGTCAATGCCCACTAACAGCTGGAATGAATTGACTCCCAGATTGTTGCTTCCTCAAGTTGTTTCAACTTAGAGATGTTGATATAGCAACAAAAACATGAATTTGAAACAAGCTAAAAAACTGAAGGAGGAAATTCCAGGCTAAGTGCATCCCACGGAATTCATTGCTAAGAGTGTCATTTTCTCTGGAGGTCTCCAGGAGAAGAGGCAGCTGTTTAAGCACTTCACATCTCACATGAAATCAAGTTCAGTATGCTTCCACAAATTTGATGATCGACAGATGCTCATGAAAGGTGGAGAATTTCCCAGACAGCACATAGGAAATATTTACACCTCACTTCCTGTGTTTTCAGAAAACAATATGCAAAGTCTGGTGGAAGTAGTTACTTGCAGGGCAGTGAGAGAACAATATTCAAAATATGCAGTAATGTTCTGGACTTAAGAAGTAAAGGAGCTGTATGAATTTTACACCATAAATAAAAATCGTGGTTTGCAAACTATCCTGCAAACGAGGTCACTCTTTCTGTGTTAAATGTACAGTAAATAGCAACTTGGAGCCTTGATAATTGCTTCACAAACAAAGCTGAATCTAGTGTTTTAAGTTAGATTTTGATCTCACTGTTCTGTTTAATGTCCTTATTAGGTATGCCTATCAATTTATAATTTAGCTTTCCTCTCCCAATCACAATTTGTCTGGTTAAGATTCAAATACATGAGATGTCTGGAAGAGTACAGGAAAAAAAATCTCTTCCCATTCCTGGACAACTTTTTCTGAAACATTATTACAGCAGCTGTGATATTTCTGTTTATTCTGTGGAGTTTTTGAATTATTGTCAAAGAAAAAATATATTTGAGGTTGGTCTTTCAAGCATTTAAATCTTTAAAATGTGAAACTTTGTCAGGCTCTGTAAACTTGGTTGTTGTGATGTCAGAGCAAGGCTTTTTCATTGATAATAAGGAGAAAGATTTATGTTTATTCAGACATGCTTACTTGTATTTGACTCATGAAATAATATTCGAAAAGAAGATTATAGAGACTAGAATTGGAAGGAATGAAACTGGATGAGGTACCAGATGGAAAAGGTCTTTAATCATGTGAATGTTTCAAAATACAGCCTAATTAAGCATGACTTCTTACTATCTGGAGTAATTTATAATAGTTCTGATTTTTTTACCATTCATTGTTCAAATGTTGTCAGTCTAGATAGGAAGAACATTTTGAGCTGAAATGCCTGCTATGATGACCATTCTACAGAGAATAAGGCTAGAGCATAGAAGTATGAGCGGTAGGAGAAAGGGGTTGTTCAGATTAGACAAAATGTGTACTTACTATCTTCAGAAACAGTAAGTGAATGCCTTATAATCATGCTTTTGATTTCTTCTTCCAGAATCTGGATGCTTTGCATGACCACCTYGCTACTATTTACCCGGGTATGCGAGCCCCTTCGTTTAGATGCACRGATGCAGAGAAGGGGAAGGGGCTCATTCTGCATTACTATTCAGAAAGAGAAGGTCTTCAGGATATTGTCATTGGAATCATCAAAACAGTAGCTCAGCAGATCCACGGTACAGAAATTGATATGAAGGTAATGTCTAAAGCAATATACACATTGAAAATTTAAGTCAATAGGAAAAAATCAAGAAAATCAAGAGTCAAGTGATGGGAAACAATAAATTTCACTGTTGCTGACTTCTGTGAAGAAGTGGCGTCAGTACTGACTCAGAAAGAGCCATTATAATTTGTGTTGCTTGAAGGACACATCAGTCATGTGCTGAGAAGGCCAGCACTAATTTGCAGGCAGACCAAACTGGGAACAGTACAGAGCAATATCCCCTAATTCAGAGAAGGATTGTAAAGAGGACATGTAAAGAAATTAAATACTGGCTTATTTGGGGTGCACTTCCCCCCTCCTTTATTTTATATTTGGCATATATTTCTTACTGTCTGCTGTGTCCTCTGAGAACATGGACATTTCATCTTTGTGTCCTAGATTCTTCATCTGTGTGCAAACTGTGAGGCTGATGTGCATTGATAAGGCCTGGCTGGCAAGCAGCATTTTCCTCCCAGCCAGCATACCAGGTCCTTCCCAGAAATAGGATATTTTTGTGGATTTCATGCTATCCTTTCATGGAGGTGTGACTGGATATGCACCTAAAGCCCTGAAAGTGAAAAAATGTTCCTCAGTCACAGAGTTTACGTAATGTTGTGTTTGCTAAGTCACTCATGAAATGGGAAAGAGGCTTCTGTATTGCCCATACAGAGCAACAGAAAGATTTAATTAACCAGGCCTTGTATATGTGATAGTATAAAATCAGAGTTTGATCCAAGGTATAGATATATGTGGACAGAGAAATAAAAAATGAAACCTTTTTTCTGTTAGAAATATTGTGACTGATAAAAAATTCTTTCCATCAAGTAGAAAAGAATCTAAGCAAGTACAGCAAGCATTCTTTGGGTTTTTTTTTTTTAATATTCCCTAGTCATACTACATTTCTAGCACAGTTGCATTGTGTGCTTGCTCAGAAAATCCTTTCATGATTTTATCATGAGAACATGACCGTGTTCAGGTAAGAGATTTGCAAGCAATCCAATGACAAAGATATTTGTACTGCTATATTGGAGTATTTACCCTTTGGGTTTCCTGTTAATCTAGCTCAGATTATAGTAGATGTCTGCTTGTGTATGTTGTGGTGATATACTTRTGTCCTTGTTTAGATTCTCTTTTGTAGAAAACCACAATTCAAACTTTTGCAGCAGGTGTTAGTAGTCAGATACAGAAGGATACAGCAGAATCAAAACACTCCCCTTTTTAGATCCCTGTTTATTTGAAGTGTTGAGACAGACAAGAAGGACCATGTTGGAAAGTTGGCTGCTAAAGTGCTGAAGCTGTTGCTTGACAAGYGTTTTTTTTGGTAGCACAGGCAGCTTAAGCAGCCCTGTTCTATCAGTGCTCAAACTTGTCCTACAGACCTTCTTCGGCTGTGTCTGTCCAGCTGGTGTGAAGTTATAAAATAAACTATAGTGAGGAAATGAACTGGGTTCAAAATAACAGGTTTTTTTCTGGATTATTTTTTTTTAATGTATGTCTTTTTCCTTACGTGGTTCAGTGTTCTGTCCGTTTGAGGGCCAAGCAGAGGCAAAAGTGATCCATGGGGCTGRGGAGAAATCTGAGTTTTCTAAAACTGGCTAGCAGCACAAACTTTTGACAAACTGTGCTCCCAGTCTGAATATTACTTTGCTGAAAAATTGTATTGATATCCATCTAGATATTTTCACAAAAATGATATGTTCCAAAGAGCTTTATTTATTATTTATTTCCTTATTATTTTAATTTGAATTTTTTAGGCTTTTCTGAAAATTTTACTGTTGCACTGTAAGTAAATAGAAGTTTAATAGCATTAGTCAAACTTACTGTAAATGAACACAAAGTCCAATTGAAATCTACACTATTCTTCTAGACTGTCTGAGCTAAAAGCACATAGGTGCCTAAAAATAAGTACTACCTCTAAATGAAGAAGGTATATATTGTCTTATTTTGTCCATTACCCCAGTTTTAACCTTTTTCCCTATTAGAAATTCATGTTCCCTTAATCCTGAACTTTTTCACATCTCTCCTGGTTAATAAAGCCTATGTCTTGACATCTCTAAGACTTTACATATGCTGTACTCCACAGATACTCAGGAACTTTAGTGGTAGATAAGCAGAGAATGATTCTCTAAGGTGAGAGTGATGAAATTTGCAGCTTATCCATACAGACAATGAAAGTCTTCCTCCATTACTCCATAGGTCAGCTATTAATCATGAGTGGTATGGATTAATGGTTTTAAAGTAAAGTCTGCGAAGGGATAACAAAGTRGTTTTACTGTTCAAAATATTGAGCGTAGCAGAAAAAGTTGACCAACTTCTTTGATCTCCATCCCTTGCCTCATAATTTAATAAATTATTACTTTTGTGTTTTCATCTGTTAGCAATATATTGTTTGAAAAAGCACAGCACAGAAAAACAATGGAGTTTCTTTTCATTCCCTCAGTTTTTGTGGATCAATCAATGCCTCTACTGTAAAACTTGACTTGGACATCAGGTAGAATTTTCCTTAAGGAAGAAGARGGTTTTTTTTGGAACTGATAAAAACCTCAGTGCCTAGCCAGAAATTTCCAGTGTTATTATGGGAGTCATCTCCTGAATTGCAAGACGAGATTCCTGAGTTGTCCTTTCAAATCTCTTTATCCAATGCATTTACATAACAATCAGGCACAGGACTGACTCAGTAAGTTCTGCAATTCTCTTTATATTAGTATGAAGTTGATATCTGCAATTTGATGCTTAATACTTCATTATCCACTTTTCTTCTCCATCTGCTTTGAACAAATGCTTATATAAATCTGCTTGAGAGAMTATACCTGCTTCTAAGCCTGTATGTTCATGAAACTTTGAATTTGTCTTATAAGTCACCTCTGTGAAGGTGGTAGCAGATTTTAATTGTTTTCAATAATTCTGGTTTTGTTTCATGGGTTACAGAATGGCTGAGGTTGGAAGAGACCTCTGAAAGTCATTTTGTTCAACCTCATCTGCTGAAGCCTGGCCACCTAAAGCCAGTTGTTCTGGGCCGTATTCACACCTCGTTCAACTACCTCTAGGGATGGACACTCTGCAAATTCTTTGGACAACAGGTGCCAGTGCTCCATCTTTTTCATGGTAGAAACTGACAAATTTGTTTTGAACTTGGATTCAAAATTCCAGCTGAATAGTTCAGGAAAGCCCAAGCTGACATAAATTGATTAATTAGTTCAAATCAAATTTGCCTTATCTTCTCTGACATGTTARTCCATTTTTAGCCAAATAGTACTGAGGTTATATAATTTTTGCAGCAGGTATTGTCTCAAAAAATTGTTGCTGACTTTGTGGACGCACTAAGAATATTCATGTTCTGCCAGTCTCAGTATGAGAACTAAAAAATCATCACAATGCTGGTGACAAACTTTGTCATGAGATCTCTGTTAGCAGCCTACTGGCTATGCCTTCTCTTGCTTCACTTGTCAGAGGTTGTTTGTATAACAGTGAGGGTGACCTGTGAAGGTGAAGTCAGGACAGCGGATCCCCTCAAGGCTACTAATGGTACGGGTCAACAAAAAACGTTGTACATACTCCAACARAGCCCCAAAATCTGTTGGGAGACAGACTTCTGCAGTTCTAGAGAGCAGACTATAAAAATCTTTTACATAGGGAAGATGTTTTACCATGTAAAATGGGAAAAAGATCAGGGGAAGTCCTTGACAAGATGGTAATTTCAGACGTCTTAATGACAATGTAAAAAATAAAGTCACCATGTGGCCAGCTGGAGAACTGATCTAAAAACTACTTGTGTGCTTGTCATGGAGGACAAACAGTATTGGTCCATACATTAAAATGCTGTATGCTAAGATAAGTCAGTCGTGGAGCATGATCAGCCTCTAATTCTGACACAAGGCAGCTGGAAACTTCACAATCCTCAGGTGTGGTGGTTTGGTGCAGTGAGAGAGTCTGCACTGAAATCAGCTGCCAAGTGAAGGCATCCCCACMGTTCTAACTTGGAGTATGCAAAACTAAAAGTGGTGCTGTTTCCACTGTGAACTCCTTTGTCTTGGGGTCATTCTGAAACAGCTACAGTAAGCTTTGTTAGGCAACATTTCACAGTCAGTTTTGATCAGAAGAGATCCAGAATTTCATCCTATATTGACATYTAAAGGGCAAAAGAGCCTGGTTTTGTATTAATCTTCACAATCTCATAGAAAAAAAATKACTGTCCAAGGGTATTCTGTCCTTCCATGCTGAGATGTGAGCATGTCCTGGGGATATGCTGAGATCTACAGAATTGAGTCTTGTCATTTAGACACATCTGTGACAGCTGAACTGATAGCATGTGCTCATTATACATTCTGTATCACGGTGATACTGCTTGATTTAAGATCGTGTGTGAAGCTCACCAAACAGATTAAGCCACACTCATTTTAAAATAATTTTTCTCTGAATTGTTGTTCCCTGAAATACTGGTGACTYTTCTCTTGATTAGGCAAGGAAAAACACAGAAGGGACATTTTCTGGAAAGCGCAGTCAGGTTAGCAGTTGGATGTTATATATTATCTTTGAAACCAAGAGAGTGATTTCTCCCTTCAGTTTCAACTGCAGTTACTATGGTGATTGAGCTCTTAGACGTTGTGAACTGATGTCACTTCACCAGCTAAGACTGCAGGGAGAGGAAGAATTAGACTTGATTGCAGGCTTTGTTGCTTTGTCACTGAACTTTAATTTGTCAAGCATTTATCAGAGGCTTCTTCAACAATATTCAAATGATATCAAAATTGTGTAGCTTGCAAACTTTGCTTGCAGAATGAAGCAGTGGATAAGTTATATTCTAGTTAAGCTTAGCAGAGTGTCTAGGTCAGGTGTTTATACCTGACAAATATCTCCCAATTAGGTTGGATCTATAGGTACAAGGGTGAAGGAACAGAATTTAACATCTTATGTTAATGGTCAAAAGCGCTTATTTAAAATTTGCTGACAAGGTGGATGAAGTCATGAGATAGGAAGATTAGATCATAAATTGTGTGAGCAGAAAAGACATAATGAAATTGCATACCCATTGGGAAGTTAATTAGAGATGCATCAGTAATTTTCTTAGCCTGGAGAGGGGAATGATTAAAGTGCCTGTTAATAAGTGTCTGTGCATGGATGATCAGAATAGAATTCCATAAACCAGCCATGTCCACAGCATATCATGTTTACCAGGAGTGTGCAGCTGGCACTGTGTCTGTCTTGTAGATCTGATACATGTCCATGTGTTTGGCCTGGTGTTCATTTGTTGCCCTAATGTGTTACATTAATACAGCGAGCATTTCTAGAYGCCCTGGAGTCTGGTCAAAAATAGCATTTCAAATGAACTTGAAGATGCTTGGGAAATTTGCAGCTTTGCACTGTTACTGCACAGTTCTGATCTATAAAGGTTAGGAAAATAGCTCAGCATGTGTGAGGACTGACTTTGTCACTGTGTGTGCTTGTAGAATCTGCAGAGGGTCATGGCTCAAAGTAACTAGACATCTGGAAGCATGTAGCAGKTCTGTTTTTATAGGTGATTTTTTACATCTAAACCTGAGTTTTGTTTACTGATGCGTTAATTTCTAATGAGTGAAATAATATGAGAAGTTATTAAAAACAGCCTGTTRGGTGCTGCATGATATCAGATAAAGGTCTGTAAGTACAGGTTGTAACAGAATGTTAGAGTGCAGTGAGTAAGATGGCTATCAGGAGAGAGTATCTCTGGAAGGTTATATRCTTCTAAGATATGCTTAATATGAACATTTCCTTAAAAAATATTAGATTTTTTAAAATCAGCTTTGCTGAATTAAGAAGGTTTTCTTCCAAAGTATGCAGGCGTATTTTCCATAGCGAGAACAATGCTTTGAAGTAAGATCCAAGAGTAGAAATGATCTGGAAGCACAGATCAGTTCTAGAGATAAATCTCCATAATATGAAAAAGGTTTCTGTGTGTAATCTCAGCTATCTCTGGCCACAATAACAGTAGTATTAAAATAAAACCTGTGGGAGTGTACATGAGTGATGGAAAGYAAGAACTAAGACTCTTAACCACGTTCTGTTAATCCTCAGTATGACCATATTCTCTCACAATTTCAGGGATAATGATCTAAAGGAAGAGGGACACATGGAAAACCTTTAAACCCTGAATTCAGAGGAAAACTAGGTGTCCATCTATTGTGTTCCATTGTTCTAGACAAACCSACTTAATGTGATTTCCTCAGATGACCCCCATATATTTTTTCTGAGTCTTACCCCTTATTAGCTCATAATTTCCCACTTCTCTTTGTCACACACTGGCATATGGATTACCAATACTGCTTCTTGAGGCAGTTAGATTTTATCATCATCAACATTTGAATTTATTCATGCATGCAGCTTTGGGTAGCTACATTAGCTGGTAAATATAGTAAGCTGATCTTTCTCTAAGTTACTTACATATGCTATAGAAAGAGAAGAAGAACGCAGCAGACAGCTATAGAGCCCCTAAATCTGACTCTTGCTCTCAACTGTCCTCCAGAAAAGCGTCTCTTTCCTTCAAATCAGAGTAGATCAAAGAACACTGCCACCTTAAATTAAGCATCAACATAAAAACCAAAAAATACTGTTTTACACTCCTCCATTTGTATAGGAACAAATAAAGGGATCAGGACTCCCCTACCTATCAGCTAGTATTTTTGGCATTTTCAGAGAACAAATATTTTATAAACTTAATATCTTAGGGATCAAGTGCATTGTTTGTGCATATCAGTTCTGTTTTCATATTGTAACTGTTAATCTCTGTGGTTAAGACTATGTATAAAGGACAAAATCCAGATGCTTTAGACATTTTAAGAAATCTTTTTTTTTTGCTTCAGTAACTTTAGGATCAGAATCTACATGAAAGTAGAATCAGGTGGAACATGTTCCAGAAAGTCGCTGCTCAACAATACTGTGTAAATAGAATTGTTCTTTTCCTGCCATTRAGTCTAATTAAATTTGAAAAGAGATTAATTTGGCTTCTCAGGGTAAATGGTGTTATTCTACTGGTTATTAGCTTAAATTATGTTGCCATACATTACTCTTGTTCCTAACAAAATAATCCCTATTAATTTCATGTTTTTTTTCGCTAACTTTGAGTAAAATTACTGAAATGTTAGATGCCATATTATATTAAAGACATCTTTTTGATATTTTGCTGATGTAGATGACTCTAGTTTTGCTGTCATTTCCTTTATTATGGAATGCAGCTCAGGGAAGATTGTAATTGCTCTTGGTTTTGTCTCTTGGCTCTGATCTTGCAATCTTCTGGAATGTGTAAGGACTGTATAATTCTAACATCTGCTCTATCTACTTTTCYTCTTGCTGTTGGTGACATGCCCACTCTCTTAGCACTATTTAGTCAGCACTAAACAGTCAGCACTATTTGCTGTTGTGTTATAGACCTTGCAAAGAGTTTTGATCAAAACAAGGTTTCAAGTGGTCTGTGTGATTCAAGACCACAGGTTTCTTTAAGTGGAGGGGGCCACCCTGTTTTCTGACAAGCACCAGTAAAAACAAGCATAAACTGAGTCTTTACTCCTCATTTTAGGATCTGCATTTCACTGAGGCTTAATAAATTGTATTTGGGTGATCTCCAATGTGTTGCTTTTGCAGAGAATAACTGTGGCTAAGCAAAGGCATAATTATTCACCTGGAATTACAAAGGCTGTAAAATCAGAAATTCTTACTAGAATACAGTATTTTTCAAGATGCAAATGTAATTCTTGAACTTATCTTTCTCCTCTAAATATGTTGCTGTCTTCATAGTAGCGCTCCAGTTACAAATGAGTAGCAGAATTTTCAATTTTTCATTTTTTTTTTCATTTCTCTAGGTTATTCAGCAGAGAAATGAGGAGTGTGACCATATTCAATTTCTAATTGAGGAGAAAGAGTCTAAAGAAGAGGACTACTATGAGGACCTTGACAGATTTGAGGAAAATGGTACCCAAGAGTCTCGCATCAGTCCCTATACTTTCTGCAAGGCATTTCCTTTCCACATCATATTTGACAGAGATCTGGTGGTCACACAATGTGGCAATGCTATATACAGAGTCCTTCCACAGGTTAGTTGATTCTTATGCATGAATAGCCATAGAAATTTCTAGTGATAGGTGCTTCACAGGTAAATTATAAAGATAGATAAAATAGGTTTAGGATTCTCTGTCTAAACAGCATTCCCATGTACATGTATAACATTTACTAAATTGTGCTTCTCTTGTTTGAAAAAGGACTTGAAAATAGYGTAATACTACAATAGCTTTGTACCTCATGATTGTGTCCATATGAATTAAGAGAACAATTTAAAAACCTTGTGATTTAATGGAGAAATGCATAAAGTRTATATTCTCTTCCATTTTGTGTTGTCATCTAAGAAAATGGAATTTAATTGCTCTATGTATATATTTATTATGAAGTATAACATTTTTTCTCTTTTTTCTGTTTTTTAATATTCTAGCTACAGCCAGGAAATTGCAGTCTGTTGTCAGTTTTCTCCTTGGTCCGGCCTCACATTGATATTAGCTTCCATGGGATCCTCTCCCATATCAATACAGTCTTTGTACTGAGGACTAAGGTAACTAGAGAATATTTTCCCAGCTTTTCTTTAAGTGTACTTTGGAGAGATAAGAAGTGCAGAAAGTTCAGAAGTCTTCAGAGAAGATTCTCTCCATAGTGGCATGCTCAGACCATTGTGGCTCAATCTTGRGCTAGGAGGGAGTCACAGGTATGAATTTGGTTGTAGCTGTTAAGTATGGTGTTGCATCAAAGCAAATGTAGACTGATAATTACATTTACTTTTGCTTCATAACAGTGTTGGACACAAAGTGTATCCTTGCTTGGGCCTATATGTTCACACAAAGGTTTGTGTCGTTTTATTTAAAAGGGCAGGAGACGACGCAGGTCATACAAACACATGCAGCATGTAGAGTAACACTTGCTGCATCAAGGAGCCTGATTATTTAAAGAATAAACTGCACCTGAGAGAAGCCAGGAATATTTCTTAGAGATATTYCCAGGCACAGAATTTCACAGAAATACTGTGAGATTTCACAGGCAATTCTATTGTCAAAACTTGTTAAGAAATTATGTGGAAGAATACAAGGAATTATGAATATGAATGTAAAGAAAGGTATCATGCTTTGTTTCTTTAATGTAGCAAATTGCAGTATTAAAATACAGGTAGTKCATGGTGTTCAAATGAGAAGTTATTTGGGGTTTAATGTAGGCTCTAAGTCTAGTCCAWATATTCTGACTGCCTTCATAGTGAATACACTGACATACTATGCTGGTGCATAACACACCATTGCCCTTACACAATTGTGACTTTTCATCACCAGGAGGGGCTGTTGGATGTGGAAAAGCTGGAGTGTGAAGATGAGCTGACTGGCACAGAAATCAGCTGCTTACGCCTGAAAGGGCAAATGATCTACTTGCCTGAAGCAGACAGTATTCTCTTTCTTTGTTCACCAAGGTACTTTAAACCTAGAGTTCTRTAATACTGATTATCATTTTGCAATTACTAGTTTTAAAATTTATTTACTCTCTGCTTTTTGAATTTTAAATGCTCCTTTGGCAAGTGTAATTGTCCCCGTATTATTATATATTTCTCTGCATTGCAGTGTGATGAACTTGGATGATTTAACCAGAAGAGGTTTATATCTGAGTGATATTCCCTTGCATGATGCTACCCGTGATCTGGTTCTTCTGGGAGAGCAGTTCCGTGAGGAATATAAACTGACACAGGAGCTTGAGATCCTCACTGACAGACTGCAGCACACACTGCGTGCACTGGAAGATGAAAAGAAAAAGACAGACACGTAAGAGCCGAATCCCAATCTTGAGCTGAAACACTCAAAGCCATATATTATTTATAGCTACTGTCTTCAAAAAATAACAGAATCTTGTAAGGAATATCAGAGATAACCAGGACTGGTATTTTTGGAGTTGAGAAAGAACATTTAATAGGGTATTTCTTTATTTAGATTGTCAAATGTCACCCACAGTCTAGGCCTTTACATGCCTAGATGTTTTGATGGCTCCCTCCCTGATAAGAAAAGTTATAAAAAGTGAGCTGACAATTCTTTTTATTTGCAAATTACCTAAAATTTTGGAAACTTACATGCCGTAATTGTAGCTAAGGGGAATTTGAGGAATGCCCAGATGCTCTTATTTGACAGAGTTCAATAAACCGACTTTGTCTTTCTGGCACAGGTTGATAGAACATACCTTGTTAACCTTGAAAACAGTTTGTATAAAGCTGTAATTYTGCAATAGCGTCAAATTCATGCTATGAATTTGATTTAATAGTTATCTGTAGAAATTAATTTGGGGTTATCTAGATATAAGTACATAAAAATAACACTTAACAGTAAGTTCATTGGGCCCTGAATCCAATTCTACAGGTAAATATAAAGTCAAAATTTAAATGCCATTAGTCTATGCCATCTGAGCTCAACAGTGACTGGCAAATTTAAAAAAAACTTGTGTGAAAAGTAGTGTGGGGTTCGTGATTGACTCTTGTTTATAAAACATCATGCCGTCTCTGTATGAATTCTATTGACAGATATGTTTTTTACTTTAATGGAGTAATGGAAGTTGCTCTTCTCCGTACTTGAAAGGGATGGGCAGGTTAACCAGAGAAAAAAAACCCTAAAAAGTGTTTTTTCCCCTCATTCGTGTTGGCTTGCTTTATAATGTCATTTTATCTTCAGGAATTGTAGCCTTTGTGGCAGCTGCTGGAACAGACAGTGTCAGTTACTGTATAATGTGCCAAAAGTATTCTCTAATTATAACTTATGCAGTAGTGAACTTGCCAAAAATCCAACTAATGAAGGTTTGTGCAGGAGGCTGTGTACAAAATGATGTTCGGGATTTTTGAAACAGATCTTCAGCTTGTCCACTTAGCTGTGTCAGGAAGGAAATAGACATTAAAATACAGTTAGAAAATTGAAAGAATACAGGATAATAGGGTGAATTTCTGTGTGACTGGATATTTTTTTCATAATTTAGGTGAACAACTGTTAATATGTCATATAGACTATTAATTGAAAAAGACAATCTTGACCCTAAAAGCAATAGAAGAGGAAGCATTTAGAAATGCATGAATTGATCAGAGATGAAAAACTTTTTGATTACTTAGTCTTTCTTGCCRTTTTTATGGTTCTGTGAGCAAAACCATATTATATGAGCTGAGGATGTGGCAGAAAGAGGTAAAAGTGATCCAAGACACTATCAACATATGATGTCAGGAAAATTAGTAATATATGTCTCATTTTGTTGATAATTTAGATTAATGTATGTTTGAAATGGTATGCTGATGTAGATCTGTTCTTGTTTTCCAAATAATGTATTGTTCAATGAACAGTTTTTCTATTGCTTATTGATAATGGGAGTGTGTTATAAACCCTGTGGGGGATATGAAGTTAATATATGTAAGAGCTGCTGAAAACAACTTTCTCCACATCCTCTCTGTTTTATTTGTGTCTTTCTTTTGTTACCTGTGCAGATTACTATACTCTGTCCTACCACCATCAGTGGCAAATGAGCTGAGACACAAGCGTCCTGTTCCAGCCAAGCGTTACGACAATGTCACCATTCTTTTCAGTGGCATTGTTGGATTCAATGCCTTTTGTAGTAAACATGCCTCTGGAGAGGGAGCCATGAAAATTGTCAATCTTTTAAATGATCTTTACACAAGATTTGATATTCTGACCGATTCACGAAGGAATCCGTTTGTTTATAAGGTAAGCATAAGATTCTTAAAGCATCTAATCTGTTACTTTTCAATGATTTTACTATTGTGTCAGTCTTTTCCGTACTTGTCTTAAATTTTAGGCTTTTTAAAAAAACCTTACGTTTTCAGTCTGAACTGTGTTACCTGATATTAGATAGCTACAGAAGAGTATGTTGGGTATCTCTAGATGTGTGAAGGAACATAAAGTGCTAAATCTACTTCTACTTTTGGCAGATGTCAACTTGTACAAGCCATTYGTGGTTCTTCTGACCTTGAGCTTTAAATTTTTCAGTCCTATTCCTGGGCCCTCTAGTTGTGAATTATAATTTATTACTCAGTTACTCAATGTGAATTTTATTCCTTCATTAGGAGTGAGGTGTAGCTGCAAATRTGGCTGGTAGTGGGAAGGTTCAGAGGTAGATACATATATGTCTTATATATATGTGTTTGCTTGTGTGTTTATATAGATGAATTTCATTCCTAGCTTTTACTAGAACTGAATTTTGTGGCCAGCACTGTATGAATCAAGGTTGTGAGTCAGAGCAAACATAGAGCTCAGTTTAATTCAGAGGACACTAGGAAAAACTCAGGTTTACACAATCACAGTGTCATGATAGGTTGTTGCATTATGGGCTTGCAATAAATTCTCTTCGAAAACCAAGAAGAGATGACAGTAATTAGGGTGATTTGAATGAAAGGGAAGGGGAAGTATTTGAAAGGACAGGCAGTCTTGAAGGAATCATTAAATCCATTCTAGTACTCTAAAAGGTGTAATAATAAAGTAATTGAAAAATACCTGTCTTCATAGGTGGAAACAGTTGGGGACAAGTATATGACAGTGAGTGGTCTACCAGAGCCTTGCATGCATCATGCACGATCTATCTGCCACCTGGCATTGGATATGATGGAAATAGCAGGACAAGTTCAAGTAGATGGTGAACCTGTGCAGGTTAGTAAATGTGGGCTTGAATGAAAAACCCATTCTTGGGTAGGATGATTGTGCTTTGAAACGTGACAGTGCTCTAGTCCCAGTCTGCGTGAACTTTGTTATTGTTAGATTTTGAGACTGATACATGCAAATAATATGAGAGTTATAGCTGTGACATGTGCAGTTCCCGGACCTTGAAATGCTTATTGTGCTTTAAAAACTAAAGGACTAATTGTGGGCCACATCATTTATGTCTGTTTTCTGATAATTTCAATATAATCAATTAATTCCTATTGTGCATCAAGTACAATCTGTTGAGTCTTGTTCAACTCAACAAACAGAACAACAATAGTCCCTTCCTGATATTTTTGATCACCTGATGCCAGAATAAGAACTTACTRAATTAGAAAGAGAAGGACAGTTCTGTAGACAGTTACAGCAATGATTACTGACACCAGTCTATGTTARTGGACTCACTCACTGTGGGACTYGATGGAGATGTTGTGGCACTGACACAGAACTGGACAAACTGCATTAACTGTCCTCATCAGAGRGCTGTGAGCAGAAAATGATTAATGAGTGCAATGCATATTTCTATTTACATGAACATTACTGTTCCATCACCCAGCCTAGAGCTGTGTTCACTGCTTTATCGTGGAGTAAAGCAGTGAGAAGGTTTGATTGGGGCTTTACAGTAACTGTAACATGCTACAAGAACGAGCTTCTCCAAACCTCTGACCTGTCTCTTGAGCTTCTAAATACAAAATACCATGATTTTTTCTTTGAGAAACATATTTTTTTCTTGACCTGTGCCATCCACCTTCTGAGCACTCACTAAACACAGACCTGCAGAGTATGCCTCTCTGCCCACTTATTTTCACAGTACATAATAACAGCAGGGTGCATGCTGGAAAATTACAGAGTTTGTTCATGTGGAAGGCAAAGACATGATTTTGTACTAAACTTAAAAAAATAAAGAAGTGACAAGCCCCACAAAATGCAAGGTTTTGAAGAAGCAGGAGTAGCACATTGGAAAAATAAACTCTAGTAGATATAAATGGCATTTACCTGTATTTAGTCAGAAGYATCAGATTAGTTACATTAATTTTGAATGTTCAAACTTCATTTTTTCTCTCTAAAGATAACAATAGGAATCCATACTGGTGAGGTGGTCACAGGTGTCATAGGTCAAAGAATGCCACGGTACTGTCTCTTTGGAAATACTGTGAATCTAACAAGCAGAACAGAAACTACTGGAGAAAAGGGAAAGATCAATGTCTCTGAATATACTTACAGGTGAGTGATGTATTATTATTGGTGTTGACATAATCAYTTTGTTAGCAAAACATGAAAGTTGTTTTGAGTTGAAAGTGACAGTCSTCTGCAACCATTATTTAAGTATATGAGTTCTCATGAAACTGTATAGCAAACTGCATTATGATATTCAGTTACTGGTATGCAAATATAATAATGATGTAGAAATAGATTTGAATCTTTTGSTAGCTTGCTCACATACCTGTCGCATGTTTAATATTTTACATAGCTTGTGGTGTATATGCAAATTGCATTCATTTACCTGTTTTCTCTTTCAGGTGCCTTATGACACCAGAAAATTCAGATCCTCAGTTCCACCTGGAGTACAGGGGTCCAGTTTCTATGAAGGGCAAAAAAGAGCCAATGCAGGTTTGGTTTTTGTCCAGAAAAAGTACAGAGACAGAGGTATGAGTAACTAAAGTGTAATTTTGTTTTTTTCAAACGAGGCATAAACATAAAAGATTTAAGCCACTGAGATCCATTTGAATTTGCAAAACTAAATGTTCCGTAGAAAAAAAATGAAKAGTTTTGTGCAACACTCTTTCATTAACACATTTACTATCTTGACAGTACTTGAAAGTCCTTGATTATTTGTCTTTGCAGTTTGTTCAGTTCCTGAAAGAATACTTCTGATTTCAAAAAGTCCTTGAGGGAATGCCAAGTGTTTAAATATTTATATCTCCCTCTTACAGATTTCTGCACTGCACTAGATTTTGCAATATAATGTCGGTTTCTGTTTAGCTGACATGTCTGGTTATCAGCACTTCAAAATTTGCCATTTGCTTTCTTGCAGTGAGTGAAAAAATGTGCCTTCAAATATTTAGRCTACAGTCAAGCAACTACTTGCAGACAGGTTCACACCTGATGTATATGGTGATCTCCTAACCCCAGATGGCATCTGCTTGTTGAGACTGTTGCATAGCAGAGGTCTCTCTTTAGAAATATACAGGGTGAAAACTACTTTTGAAWGACCTATGAGCCTAAGTGCTCTTCTCAAAATGATGTAGTGTAAAGCTCTTCAAGCATTGAGTGGCCTTTAAGCTTATGCTTCAGTTTCAGAATTCTGGGCATGTATTATCCAGAATTCCAGTAAAAGACAATGAGATCTGGACTCCTAAGCCTGCTGCAAATTTGACAATGAGGTTATAGTATGCCAGCTTCTTTGTCATAGCTGAGCAGGTGTATACATTCCATCCAAAAAACATAAAAGCTTTTTACATAGCTTGAATTTTGCCCTGAGGTAATACGAAAAGAATGAGTTTTCAGATAATGTATTTAATCTTAAAAATACACTTCATCAAAATAATGAAAATCATCCATTACCTTGGCTGAAATAATTCTTGTAAGTCAGAGGAARTTAATTATGTGTCTGGATATTCAAATACTTCTGAAAATGTAATTTGGGCTGTTAAAATGTTTAGGCATTTTAGGAGATCTAATCCAGATTTATTACCACTGGTACCCAAGTATATGAATACTGACTTCTTAATGGTAACTCCCAGTATTAACCCCCTGTACTTTACTCTGCATTTTTATTCTGTATTTTAATATATATTACTTACAATTACATTCTGGGTGTCTTTTTGRGAATACTTTTCTATTCTTATTCTACAGTAAGATTAACTATAATTTCACGAGTACGATTATTTCAAATCTATCGTATTTAAAATATTTTAATTAAACACCTTTCACTTTTTTTTCTGCATTATGTGTCCTATCATTTGTAGCAAGGCACATTATAATCTTAAATGTAAATTTCAGAGAGGTACTGTAGCATGTGGGTATATGAGTCATGTGGGTATTTTCCTTGTTTCAGCCTAACATGTGATTAATATGACTATAAAGTTCAGGTAGTTTAGGACTTTAAATATTGCAGTTTTCTTTCTGAGATCTTGTACAACAGTTGGTTTTGTTAATCCTCACAGCAGTCCTGAGAGACACTTGCCAGTATTATTATCCAGTAATTGAGCTTTGTAGAAGAAAACGGGGGAAGGAATAAACCCGACYGAGAAATACTGTGAGCCTGATTTTCAGGAGCACTTAAGACTCACAGTTTAAACACGCTCAAAAAGTCTTATTAATTTTCTTGCTTTCTGTTAATTCTGAAATTCAAATATAGATGTAATTCTTAGAGACAGAAGGGCTTCTCCCATGACAGGTATCTCTTCTACATTGCACTAAGATTGGGAGGAGATAAGAAAAATGCATTAATGCGATGATGTGAACTGATAATCATTTTGTCAGAGGTGATTTTGAAAAGTGGAAGAATATAATCCTCTAATCTTTTGATTCTTTTTCACTCCCTGCACAATTTCATCTGTCTGTACACAAAAAATGCACAAAGTTCTACTCCTTTAAGATTTTCTGAACTGTTTGCAGTTTCTCCTGTGAAGGTACTCTTCAGGTTTTTTTCTGGCACTTTATAGGCTGTGCCTTATAGTTTGAATCCGAGAGCAGAAATCAGATAACCAACTTTTTCCATTTGATCACTTTAAAGTAATCACTTTGCTTTATGAAGGGTGCAGTCTTGGTTTTCTTTCTGGAAGTTTTTCAAAATGCTAATGTATTATTGTGTGCAGTCCCATTTATTTCAGCGGGACTGTTCATAACAATGAATATGGCATGTTAATACATATTCAGAAACTATATGGTACTTTCTAAAAGGTCACTCCAGAATATTGCAAGAAGTGGTTTATAGAAGTAAACATGCAAATATTTCTTGAATCAGCCTGAAGATACTTCTGCTAGTTTTGCTTTTACTGTGAAGTTTTCTACCTCCAGTATCTTTAATCTAGGATTAATGCACATCGGAGAGTTGTTAGCTCAGCATTTGCAAATCTATCAGTGTAATATACTCAGTAATAAATACATGGTGAAGAAAAAGGACAAAATATTTACAGATGCCATAAGAGATGTGAAACCAAGGCTTAAATATTATTTTGCTCCTCTAGGCTTATACAATATGACGGGGCTGAAGCAGCTCAGCATGGCTTAAACTAGGTTCTTGGGTTGACATCGTTAATATCAGTCCCCATGAGCAGCAGTTACTTCTGAGAAAGACTTAATTTACAAGAATAGTGTTGAAGTGCTGCTCCTTCACTTCTTTTCTACTTATGATATCTCTTTCATAATACCAACACAGCAGAAAGTAGAAAAACTTCAGAAATACACATAGAACAAAAGCAGCTGTGACCAGTTATTCATTTTGCATCTGCTTGTTTGCATGTTATAAGATGAATTATTACCATCTTTATTATTTTAACAGAGGTTCAGCTGAAATTTCTCTCTTGAGAAACAGGTTTGTTGTAAAAGATAATTGTTTCAGACAGCCTCAGATGTTTGACTGCAATTTTCATCCCTCTTCACTTTCTAATATCTTTCTTTTCTGCCCTGTTCCCACATTACTGGTGGGAACAAATTGAAATATCTCAGGCAGAGCTGGTAGTTCACCAGGGCATGTAGGAGTTGTTGCATTCCTCCATATAAGACATAYGAAAGAAATACATGCAGCACCTATGCTTCATTTTTTTATATAATTTACTGATACTGGTTGCAAGTTGTAAAATGTACATTAACCCACCATGTTGTTGCTTCGAAGAGAATTACTTACTTCTCAAATTCTGCTTGCATGCTCTCAAGGAAACAAAGCAAGATGCTTGCTGAGCTGAGGGAAGAGAAGAGGACGCTGGATAGGGTGCAATACTGTCTCCAAATAGGGTGCCATGCAGTAAGGTTGCGTTATGGATGTTCTTTCACATTGTATCTCCCATTGCCATGTGCAATACCATTGTCTTGCCCTACTCCTGAAGCCATACCTACCATGTTTCTGCAGGCTTGCTTACTAATTTTTTGTCCTTGTTTGGTACTGTTATATCTCTGCTATGAGCATGTATTTCAAGCTTTCCTTTTTTTGATATGCATTTTTGCATGTCAGTCATGTGACCATTCCTACCACCAGATAATACTGAATGAAACGATGTAGTGTGCACACCACAACTAACCACTTCAGTCTGATGCTTCACATCTTCATCTTCATCTCTGAAGTACAGTGGTTATGTGAATTGGTGACGTTTCTGGAAAGATAGGTATTTCAGTTGATAGGCAGAACAATGAACCTAAGGAACTATTTAAAAAAAAATACCTAAAGCAGCATTATGAACACTATTGTATAAATCTTATCAGATTTAGTTCTGCTATTACCATGCTTCCCATTCATTTTGTGAATAACACTTGATGCTCTGTAAATTTCTGGTTAGAAAAAGGTTTCTTGTTTGATATCATCCTGCATTTTGCCTTTGTGAATACTGTAAACATCTTCTGTATTGAAAGGGGACAGTTGTTTTTCTGATACTGCCATTTGAAGCATGTGCCAATGTACTGCTGAAATGCTGTTCACTTGCAATGTATTTCTCATTGATTTATATTACCTAARTTAAATTGTCATATTAATAATAGATTGCTGGACAATTTTAGACCACTTGTAGTGCATTGATTCTTGTCTGATGTAGCCCTTGGAGTTGAAAGGCATGCTGCTGAGACATGATTGACATGGTTGCCTTTTGGTTTGGTCAATCTAATTTCAGAAATGATCTTATTTTATTCCTTGAGAGGATCCGGTAATATTCTAGGCATCATGTCTAATTAATGGATGTAAAGCTTGGAAAGATAAATAGTGTGTTTCATCAGCTGATACAGTTAGTAAAAGTGGACAAGGTTTCAGATCCATAGACCTTCCATAACCTTGATATATAGTGCATTTTTATGTGAATAGTATCTGTTCTTATCTGACTAATAATTTCTGAATATTTGCATTATAAAATAGGATAGTGCAATTACTTTGTGTATAAAAGTTGTCTATATCTAGCATACCTTATTAGCACAGAATATATATGTATAAATGTTTCATCTTAATGTGCAAAAGAAATTGCAATAAATTATTTTTTCCACTGACTTCTAGAAATCCTGTGATTTTCTTTTGACAAAAACGTTATTTCATTGTTTGGTACAAACAAAGTATTTTCTCCATTAAATAATTTGTAGTTCAAATTTAAATAAAATGTTGAGTCATTGTTCCAATGTTTCCAAATGTCCGAGTGTCTCACACATTCAGGTTGATGGATCACATCCTCACATTAGTGTTCAAAATATTGATATAAATGCTTCGAAATAGTAGACTAGGTCACAGATATGCACAAATATGCTTCCTTTGAAATTTTTGGATGATATTTAACAATCAGGAACTATTAGCTGTCCACTTTGCACAGGGTGTGGATTAGCAACCAAAACGTTAGGAATGGGAAGAGAAGAGAGGAAACCACATACTTCCTTCCCCATGATCTCTCTGTCGGASAGCAGCACATCCCAGCCCACCATCAGAGGTTGCCCTCACTTGAATAAATACACAGCAGCAATTTGGATTGATAAAGTKGATCAAACTTAGAAAAACTTTAATGGTAACTCTGAAAGACATGGAATTTGTGACAGCTGTGGTTGTGTATTGATATAATACATGCAAATGGCTCTGAAGAAACTGAATTTCTGTATCACACTTCAAGCTGATGGAAGATGGCATGCCAGAAAACTTTAATAATGCTCTGGGTTTATATTGTACCTTCTTAATTATTTCAAAATATTAAAGCTCCTATTAAGCTACTCTGTAACATAACCAGTTTCTTAAAGCATAGAATAATAGCTGATTTTGTATTCATGTAAGAACTTTTCATCTCAGTACAATTTAGGCACTTAACTACTGTTACTAAAACTGTTCTTTGCTTAAATGCTGCATTCAGCTACTAAATTTATAGTTTGGTTAAATATTACTCTCAGCTAACAGTTAAACACTTCTGGAGGTATTTAATTCTTTTATGTGTGTTCTGCTGCCTCTTTTATTTAACTGTAGTGATTTGCTTTTCCAATAGAAGCTCTATATAGAAGCTGAAACATGAGGCAGAGTGATTACTAAAGTCTGTTTGAAAGGTGATTATAAATGAATATATTTTATTCTAGTTTTTTTTGTAAAAAAAAAAAAAAATTGGAGCAAGGAGAAGAATGGGAAGAACAGCCATGAAATTGCAAATTGTGGAATGCTTAGTTGTTTGCARTCTCCTGGATCTTACTCATTTTTTGAATTCAGACAGATGAGAGGCATTGATTTTTGGTGTTGTTTGTGCTTTTGGCTGCACAGGTGACTCTGTGACTCTACTGCTGTCACAGTGTGGCAGCTGATTCGGTCCTTGGTAGGAGTAACCTCTGAGAACATAGCTTCATGTTTGTTTGTTTGTTTTTAAACACAATTATAAGCAATGGATGAGATGCTCATTTGGATATCTGCTTACAGGATTATCACAAAAATGTTTTCATGAAAGGGTAGTCAAGCACTGGAACAGGCTGCCTAGGGACATGGTGGTGTGTTCAAAAGGCACTTGATGCAGCATTTGGGAATGTGGTTTAGCAGTGAACACAGCAGTGCTAAGTTAACAGTTGAACTCTATGGTCTTAGGGTTGTTTTCCAGACTCTGATTCCCTGTAAAGGACATCCTCCAGGAGGGACACATGATGACAAAACCAATAAAGTTATGTGAGATTTTTTAGTGTCTTGGTTYCAGTGTGTAAGGTGGTCGTGCAAATCAGTTCTGAGCTCATTTTTAAAAGACAGTCAATCATTGCACAAGAAGGAAATAGGAAGGGATGTGCTGCCATCTGATACGAATAAAAACCACATGGGGCTGGAGGCCCCAGAACTTTTGCTTTGAACAAACCTCTASTAAAATCTAAAGCTAATAAACGAGTGTGCTGCAGGCAGTTGTGCACTAAAGTATACACTCTAGTGATCGGAAATGTTGGTGGCCTTGTCAGTAACGCCATCTGCATGGAGCTGGAGCAAGGCATGAGGCATCTGTACCCTAAAATGCATTTTTCATTCACCATGTAGACAGGTCAACACTTCACTGTATTATCATAAATTGTAAAATGGTTGTTCCATGCATTCTAGAGCCATCATAGATTAAAAGAAAAGACAAAACAACCAATGTTGGGTCATCGTGTTCTGGCACTATGAGAACTTGAAGAGAATTTAGTGTTCATGTTCTCCAATCAGCATACAAATGGGAGCTTATAGGCAATTGTAAATTAATTCTGCCAGTCACTGTGTTGGCTTGTCATCTCCAAGTAAATTGAAGTTGCTGGATTTTTAGTCCCATTTTATGTTAACAAGATTTAATTTTTCATTATAACAAGATTCTTTCTTTCCTGGGGGTGACAGTCTGAAACAATTGTCGTTTCATGCACCTACCTGACCATGAGGAGGGAGCGTGTAATAAGCCAGTAAATAGAGCTGTGCCAATATAACTATAAAAAAAAAAAAAAATGGGGTTCCACTCCCCAATCTATAGCTGCACATACAAGGCACTGGGGTTTTTTCTACTGTTCTTTAGATTTCTGGCTGATTTTGGGTGACAGTTTGGAAAAACTACAACAATACATGCTGTCTCCACCAATTCATTCTTTGTTATTAACAGGAAAAGGCTAATGTTCATTTTCATCATAATCAACAGGTCTTTTTGCCAATATAACTGCTTTGGAGATAATAGCAACAGTGGAATGTCAAAACAATATTGTAATTGTTGTTCTGRGATGAAGATGTGGGATCTGTCTTACACAGGTTTTGTTCCAGACTATTCTTCATATCCAGCAGTCAGACTGGCATTCTCTGTTACTTTTTTTTTTTTTCCAGAGATGATAATGCACCTAGTACAAATTCAACACTACGGAAAAACTGTGCTTTCAAGGGAAGCAATTTTGTGTGCTGAGGATCTGTCTGAACAGAGGTGTCTGGCAGGAAACCTGTGTGCTTTTTTATATTGCAAGTTTTCAGGGTCATTCTAGCCTTTCAAAACTGATTTTACACTTTGATAAATGTGCTATCCTGTCTAGTGCTCAAACAACTGCCTTGTGATTGAAATGACAGAACTTTGCTGAGTCCCAGCAAAAGGCTGAAAATATTCATAGTTTGTGGCTGGTGTTAATCATAATCCTGAATTGGAAAGCAATTAAGCCAATAGTCCTTGAGCATTTGTTTAAAAATAAACAGATAGTCCCCCCCACAAAATAAAAAAAAAACCCCAACAACAAAAAAACCAACAACAACAAACAACAACCAAAAAAAACCAAAACCAACCAAACAAAAAATCCCACAAAAAAAATCAAAACCAAAACGAACCAAAAAAACCCCACCGTAACAAAATAAAAAACTACATGGCCATAGTTTTCATCTGAGGAATAAAACTCTTGAGTTCAGTATTGCTGCCTTCAGCCTCTAGGTCAGTATGAGCATAGTACTCTAACGAAGTGTGTGAAAATAAACCACCTTCATAAATTACACTGAAGTATGCAGTGTATTGAGTGTGAGCAAGTGCACATCTATTTCTTGCAACTCCTAAACACTCTCTGTAAGGCTCCTGGAAAGAAAAGTCTGTCAGTTATGCCTTGTTATTGTCAGATATTTTGTGCAAGTTGACTTAATAAATGTAAGCTTTCCTGTGCAAAATGTTCAGAAACAACCTAATTTCCAAAAWTAACTGTATAAGGAGGTTGAAGTGTTAAGTGTCCTTTTACCACAGAGAGCGTGGTAAATCATCCAGGGCCTCAACTGTACAAGAAATCAAAACTTTGCTTTCTGTCACATYACAGATGTGTTTGTGGGCAATTTTATGATGATCTAGAGGATAAGAAACTTGCTCATGAAATAAGGATATATGTCTTTTCACACAGCCTTTCCCACAGCATCCTACCCTTCAGGCTTTAGATGCAKATAGATAGATGGATAGAAAGATATAGATACAGAAATATACACACACATATTTGAGTGCTGCATACTCTTGCACAGGGTACCAAGAGTGGCATACAGAATGCAAAATCTGAAGTCAGCAGCTGCTGGAAGGACTTCCTTTCCTGAGGTACTTCGTTATCCTCTGAAGGAAGACCATGGAAATAACTGCTTCTTTGCTTTGGTCACTGGAAGAAAAGAAAGGTCAATTTTGTTTATGCAGAGAATTATTTAGTTTTGAAAGCAATGGCTTCCTTCCATTGCTCATTTTATAAGAAGAGGCTATCTGGGCAAAAGTGATGGGTTAATGGTAACATTTCTATTCCTGTGAGAGACTCAGCTTCAATTTTCACTTGAACTTTATTTTCCAAACCATGCTGCATACCTGTTGAGGAAAACTGTCCATTTGGTTCATTGGTTTTGTTTTAACTAGGTGCTAAATTCTTACCTTGCCCTTGACTGCCCCTGGCACCCAGAGGAAAATCAAAAGCCTTTCTCTTCTTGACTCATAATTCTGCTTTGGGCTTCAGATGTCAGTGTAATGTTTGTGGTTGTTTCATCCAATATAGGTGGTATTGATACTACCTAAAAGCCATATATCATGTAGTTCATTGCTTTTTATTGCAGAAATACACGAATCAGGTGTTTTGTCTCTCATGGATGTGTCAACACTTTGTATTGTAACAGCTGTCATGTGTAAAAGTATGTAGCATAAGCTACCATTTTAACTGAAGATGAAATATTCCAATATCTACCTAAGGCATGGATACAATGGCATGAATCTTTGGTAATGTTTTGGTAAGGTTTACCTCAAGAAAATGAGTTCAGCTTTGCCCAAGCAGCACCCAGAAACCTATAGCTACATTTACAGGAAGCTCGTAGAAGGAAAGCATCCTACAAGTAACAAAATATTGCTACAAAGTAGATCATATTTGAAGAGCTAATTGGTGTTTTTTTTCACCGTTTAAGAATTACAAGTCAAAAATCCTACACTGACTCATCTTTCTAAACATTTAAATTCGTAATTCATATATAGTTTCTCATACAAGCAGTTTTGGGTCGTTTCTACTTTCATAGCAACCGATTTTGTTGCCCCCATTAATGTGGAGACCTGTGGTAAGCATAACACTGCTGCAACAAAATTTGTTTAGTCTGTTAATGGTATTGCTTGAAAGGCTTGTCAGCACT